TGACGTCAGTGGCACTGACAGGATCGCAGCTCAGTCAGAGAGCAAAATTGTTCCTCCCACCACAACAGAGTCACACGGCTGCTGCGTTGTGACTTGTTTGGACTGTCCTGTTCTTTTCTTCACAGCTATCTGGGCTGCTCCTGCATGTTGGGAAGAACTAGAGAATGCTATACTCCAGCAAATTGGCCTGATCAGCAGTGAAATTGACTTAAACCTCTGGAAGGAATTTCCTCAGAGTGCAGCCCTTGATGCAGATTGTATGCAATATAGCTGCCTGCTACTCCCACTCATTACGGGAGCAATCTGGCTTTAATTGAATGCCTCCTCTGTGTTTAAGAGAGCGCTCAGCAGGTCATGAAGGCAGCGAAACATCGGAGGAAACCTGAACTACACATTTTCCATGTGACCCTAACTCTACAAGAATCTCCCTTTAAGTCATTTCCAAGGGTTTACTTCAGTTCAGCTGGAAGAAAGTCTCCATTTACTGAAATCACTGAGGGCAGGACTAGGGATAATATCAGCCACGACTTTGTAAGACACCTGGATGTGGGAAAAAATTGAGTTTCTGGTAGCCTCCTGCAGTGAGCTTGTAAATCGGGAATATGAGCTTTTCCAGTGAACGACAAAATGTGCTCCGCCTGGTCACGAGGAACAAAAGTATGACCTTTTGAGCTCCTTGAGGAGTTGACAGATGAAGTTAATAAGCTGAGAAGGGGAAAGGATTTGTGGAGAAACCTAAGGACTCATGAATGGAAACTATAACTTGGCTGTAACTTGACAAGAATGTAACAAAAAGGCAAACTGGGAAACTTTCAAACAGAAATTGGTGTTTTACACTTGGAAGAGAGGCAAAAAAGTTATTTAATGACTGGGATGAAGTCTTCTATTAGTCAGTGTTGTGATTCACAGAAATGAATCCTTTTATTCGGCAAGGAGACAAATGGAAAAGTTATTTTAAATTCTAATAATATTTCACAATGTAACTTTTTTTACTGTAGTTTGATCTGTAGTTTAAATGTAGCTTTGGTTAAAAAAAATTGTACCAACCTCAAATATATATACTTGGCATGAACAGACTTGACTTGAACAGAGACACAAACGCACCAACAGCAGGTTACACAGTTCAATACTCGATAAAGGACATGGGCAACATGAGGGCTATTTATATCAAACAATGCAGGTCACATGACAAGAACCAACCAATGAGAGACAAGACACATGACCCAAATAACCAATCAGAACAAGGGAATCACATGACAGAACAGGACTGTGATCAAACTTCAAAACAGAAGACATGAGAGCAATACACATTAGGGCTCTGCAATATATTGAAATATCGCAAATGTACATATCGCAATATGCATATCGCTACAACTTGCAATATTTGGGGCCATGAACAAAAGACAAAGAGAAAATCACTCACTGCTCTTACCTAAATAACTTTTGTAGCTTAAATAATAATCAGTGCATATTGAATTCAAAGAGTAAATACTAAGCAGTGTTTTATTTTTATTATTCAGTTCCTAAACTCATGTTAAAATGACATTTTTATGTAATGCTTGAGTAAAACACTACCGTTCACTTTCAGAAGTTGTTGTAGGGGTGTTTCCTTATTAGAATCAGAATCAGAATTAGCTTTATTCACCACTTAAGTGTGCGCAAACACAAGGAATTTGTTGTGGTTTTACAGGAACTCTTGGTACATACATGCATACATACAAATAACTAGGGCTGGGTATCGATTCAGATGTCCCGATTCGATTCGATTTCGATTCGCAAGCTCTCGATTCGATTCTTGATTTTTTTTTATTACATTCAGTGAATATAGTTTTAATACAAATGCTATTGATATTTCTAAAAAATTAACAGTAAACATCAGTTTACAAATGGTGAATTAATAAAAAGAAATTAAGAACCACATGCCTGTATTTTAAACCTATTCTATTTTTTGTATAGGGTCCTTTTTTAAACAATAATAGGGCCCTATAAAATGTTCTTAATTTTTTTGGTAATCAGATGAAGGCATAAAACATTAATTGGTAACACTTTACAATAAGGTTCCATTAGTTAATGTTAGTTAATGTATTAACTAACATGAACAAACAATGAAAAATACATTACAGTATTTATTAATCTTTGTTAATGTTAGTTAATGTATTAACTAACATGAACAAACAATGAAAAATACATTACAGTATTTATTAATCTTTGTTAATGTTAGTTAATGTATTAACTAACATGAACAAACAATGAAAAATACATTACAGTATTTATTAATCTTTGTTAATGTTAGTTAATGAAAATACAGTTGTTCATAGTTAGTTCATGTTAATTCACAGCGCATTAACTAATGTTAACTAATGAACCTTATTGTAAAGTGTTACCCATTCATTTAATTTATCCTAATCAAATGAAAATTAATTTTATTAACTTTTATTTTTTGGCAAACAAAGTGCTGCACAACAGAGGTTTACTGTTAAAATTAAAAAGAAAAAAGATGTGATTACTCCTTTAAAAATAAAGATTTATTAACATTTATTAGCAGTAGTAGCATTGAGGCTTAAGACTGCTAAATAGTAATATATTCTGACAGTAGAACGTTAAACTAAACTTTTATTTTGACGGGTTGCCGTGAAGAACTTGCAGCTGCTGTGTATGTGATATGACGGTAGTTTTCTTAAATTAAACGGTAAAATGCTAATGAAGTGACTCTCAGAGCAGCTGGCGATGACATTCGTGTTCATATCATCATATAGTGAGACGGCAGAAACTGAAAACACCGCGAGCGTCATCCGCGCTTTAGT